TACTTCTAAAATAATAGAAAACGAATAAGAAAATTGAATATTGAAAGTTCAAACTGCTATCAAATGTAATAAAATAACGATGATCAGAAATTCATGAATAAGGTACATAAATAATAACTGTATCTTTGGAATAAATAACATTAGGAGACCAACCATAATCATATTTTAATACAACTGTATTATTCATTTGTTGTATCATTAAAATTTATTTATGTTCCATTTCGTTCTGGTCAATTAACAGCAATTCTATTGGCACTCTTTACAAAAACAAAAGAAATATAAGTCTTAATTTAAAATAAATAATACTTTGAATAGAAAATCTATAGTCAAAAACAAAAGTTTAAGTGAAATTAGTTTTTTCAGTATTTTTTTTCATATTTTGTTTTTCAATTTTTTTTTTCATATTAAGAGGTATGGATCTGATTCAAATGGTGATATAGATAATACGAGAGACCAGCTACATGATGTATTATAGAATGCGACTCTGTCTGTTTATATCGATTTTTCATAATTAAAATAATTTTTTTCTATGAAACAATATGTTTAAGTGCCTTTCAGTATTTTACATTTCCTAACCAAGAGTTTTTTTCGAAAATGAAAAAAAAATATATCAATCGATAGAAAATTTCGCGCTCTATCAGATTATAAAACAAGATTTTTTCTAGAGTCAATCGTCACCTTCAAAACTTGGTTTTAATGAGAATAGTCAGCATTTTTCTCCCATCAAAATAATTAAAAAAAGACTAGCTAACTGTGTTTCTCAAAACATTATTTCAATAATGTGGGTGTGAAGACTCAGTGATAGTCGAACTACAAATACAATATTTGTCCAGTTTTGAACGCTCTTTCTAACGGTGTATAAAACATTGTAATAAGAGGAAGTTTGTTGGAGGTAATTCAATTTTTTCACTTTTGTTGACTATTCTCACTAAAACCAAGTTTTGAAGGTGAAGATCGACTCGGGAAAAAAATCTTGTTTTATAAACTTATAGAGCGTGAAATTCTCTATCGATTGATATATATATATATTTCAATTTAGGAAAACTTTCTTGGTTAGGAAATGCAAAATGCTGAAAGGCACTTAAACCTATTGTTTCACAGAAAAAAATTATTTTAATTATGAAAAATCTATATCAACAGACAAAGTCGCATTCTATAATACATCATGTAGCTGGCTTCTCGTACTATCTATATCACCATTTGAATCAGATCCATACCTCTTAATATGAAAAAGAAAATTGAAAAACAAAATGTGAAAAAAATACTGAAAAACTAATTTCACTTAAACTTTTGGTTTTGACTATAGTTTGATTAGCAAAAATCAACTAAAAATCTAATACACTATGGTTCAGATTGAATATTTGTCGAATCAACAGCTCCAGTACAAAAATCTTGAGGACCATATTGATTTTCCATTGAAATGTAAAGAAGTGTTATTGTATATATACCTTTTGAAAAAAAAACAAAGACTAACGAGACAAAAACCATGTACAAAGTAAAATAATTACCTGTACTTGGATTCATAATAGCATTTTTTGTCATTTCAACTATTATTTTATTACGTGCTCTTGAAGATAATTTTAATGGAATAAACCAAAATGAATTTAAAGAATTCGTTAAGATCTTCTTTTAAAGTTGTACAAGAAAATTCTTCTAATTTTTTGTTTACTAAATGAAAGACGACAAGAAAAACTTTATCGTGATATTCCAACTATCTTTCAAGATTCATTGAAACTCGATTCAAAATCTTGACATCTCTGTAGTCATTATAAATTAATTATTAATCAATCAGAAGATGAAAGTGCTATTAATCGTTTATTTACAAACAGGTATTCTAGATTCTGATCGATAGAACTTTCACAAAATTTATTTATTTTATCGAACACCTCTATATTTCTTTCTTAGTTTCTTTGCACACT